ATATGATTTGACTCTTCGTTAGATGGCTTCAGGCTCCACATTCTCATACGTTCGCTTGTCTTTTTAACCTGTAAATTAAATGAGATTTTAAAGGTTTTTTTTTATATAGTTTAATAAAATGTTACTTTAATCAATGTATATAGTCTTGTGAACAAATTCATTATTTTCATGCAAGAATAACAAATTAAATTGCTTATACCTCTAATTCCCAGTCGGTTTTGTAAATGATATAACACAATATCAAAGTTTGGATCGCAATTCCAGCCAACATTCCAGACCATAGTCCCTACAGTTCACACAATGAAAGTAAATTAAGGTTTTTTATAGTACATTTAGTAACATGTACACAAAAATATAAGAAGAAAGGAAGAGATTAGAAGTTTAATTAGTACCTTAACACCAAGATGGAAAACATAAGTAAGGATGATACCTAAAGGAACACCAAATGCATAATAAGAACCTAAGTTCACAAATGCCACTATACTTTGCATTCCTGCTCCAACTGCTACCCCTGTTTTATTCATTATTCAAAACCATTTAAAATTTTAGTAAACTTAATATTAGATTTTAAGCATGGTATATAAATTAGTGATGTGTGACCTGAGAGTATAGGTTGAATGCTGTTGAGTAAGATTGATATGGCAAGGATCATCGATAGATCATCCACTGCTTTCGAAACCTCGTCACTTTTCGAAAACAAATACGAAATCTGACCACAGAAAGCTAAACATAGAGCAGAGAATGTCACTCCGATCAATGTTGATACTGTGAGTATCACTTTTATTGAAAACCTCACTGCAGTTGCATCTCCTTTCCCCAGCTCGTTAGCCACTCGAACGCTACAATTAATTAATTAGATTGAGCATACATATGGCATATATGAATACGTCAAGACTGAACATTTTATAGATATGTGAGTATTACCAGGCCGCACCCAAGAAGCCAAGGCATATGTTCAATTCCCATGTATATATGTATTGGCTGCAAATTTTCAGTATCATTTAATTCAGATAATTTAGCTTCTAATAGTAAAATTTGCAAATGCCTAGGAAGATTTTGACTTTACCATATTGAGAAAGCAGAGATTGTGATATTCGCATCTTTTGTATAACCGGCCATTAAGACAAGGATGCTCATGTACCAATACTCTAGGCTGTTCAAAAATGTAAGGAACAAAATTATCAGAGAATATAAGTATTTACATTGCTCGCATATATATCATTACTTCATATCAATAAAGTAAATAATTTTACTCCTCCCTCTTTTGGCTTTGTGATTGTGTGTCAACAATATTCCTATAGAAACTCTACTTTAAGAGTTGGGTTTGTGTAGCATTTGTATCGAAGCTGTTAAACAAAAAATAAACAATTACCAGATCATGACGCCTGAAGAAATGGAGAGCTTGAGCATAGGAACTAGGTCAACAAAAGCAGCCATACTAAATCCGGTCCAAGTAAACGGACACCATCCTCCAAAAACGTACACAAACTCAGCTAATACTAAAGCCCACGAGCTCACATTAAGACCGAGGAGCGCACCACCAATGCCCATCCCCATAATACTCACGCACCACCACGTGACCAATAGGTCAAGAGCCAAGGACAAGGTGGAGAGAACGCCTACAATAGCATTCCTCATTTGCGCTTGGAGGTACATTTGCATAGTCATAGTGAAAATCAAGCTATAGACATAAGGGATCATCCAAGGATAGATCTCATCAACGGTCCTTGTAATCTCAACATTTTGGCCTAATAGACGAAGAATGGGACCCGCAAATATGATAAACGGAAGAAACAAAGTGGTCACGACCGTGTCCACGATCCATGAACGTTGTAGATATATCCCCATTGTGTGGTATTGTTCTGCACCGTATGCTTGCCCGCATAATGTCTCGGTCGCACTTGACATACCGCCCTATTTAACACACAAAAATACTATTTCTACTCAAAACTAACGGATTTTTCTCCCGATCAAAATCAAGAGTAGTTGAGATTACTAGTTTTTATACCATTAAACCGTAGAGAAAGCGGATAAATGTGCTTTGGAGGAGAGCGTAAGCGGATAGACCCAACTCTGAGGAGTGACCAATGAAAGCTTGTGCCACAATGATGCTCCCAAACGAAGTGATTCGGAACAAAGATGAAGGTAATGCTACTCTCCAAATTTTCCTTACTTCACACCAAACCTGCGTTCTCAAATAGAGACTCTCCCTGTTACTGCTCTGACTCTTAGCATCTGATCCTACACGTAATAGTCTCTCCTCCATTTCTCCTTGATTACTCATTTATACTTTTTCCTTTGTTCTTCCGTTCTTTAACTCTAATCTGAAACTGTCACTAACAAACGAAGAAAAAAAATGAAAATCTTTAAATTTCGTTTATTTAATCTGAAATTTTTTCACTAACAAGATGTTTAACTTCCAAAATACAAAATGTTTAATAGTAGATCATAACCTGAAAATAAAAACATTATATTTTCGTTAGACCACAGAAGATCACTAAATCGAAACTAAATTTTCAGAACATCTCTGTTTCTTTATAGATTGATTTATATCTCTCTTTTCCAATCCCTCTCTCATAGAAATTATTTATGTTAACGAGGAGAAACTTAGAGATCAAGAAACGATCTAATGATGTTTCTTTAAACTCATTTCTTGTTCAAAGATTCATAAAAACACAATATGTATACACTTTTTTGGTATATATCTACCGAATCTATGAATTATCGAGTGATTAATTAACTAATTACCTTAGTACTTCAAGTGAAACGACTCAAAGTGAAGAAGATCAAAGAAGAGAAACAGAGCTCGGCAAAATCAACAACAGAAAAAATGAAGATGAGAAAATATATTGGAAACTGGAAATTTACTCGCTTATTAAGGAATATATGTCAGAGTTGAAATGAAACGTCTGGATTTACATAAAATAAAAAATAACGATTTATGACGATAGTTTGTCAAGAAAACAAAATAAAAAATTATGACGGTCACATACATATATAGCTAAATAAAAATTTAGATTTTTTTTATTAGTTAGGAAAAATGCTAAAATATTAATTATGTCAGATATGTTAAATTATAATTTGGGACATGGTTTAGTTAAAGTGCAGTTATATAATAAGATCCGAAGTTGCAACAAAAAAATGTAAATTTATTTTCTTC